ATCCGCGGGTTCCAGGTTGCTCCCATCCATATCTGTAGGTTCCAGGCTGCTCCCGTCGCTGTCCTGAGGGTTTGGGGCTCTTCCAGCGGGGTGAGCTGTGCGGTCTGGGTGAGCTGTGGGATGACCTGAAGTTTGTCTGGGTCCCTGCCTAGCTGGTGAAAAGCTCTGCCGGGTACTGAGGATGCAGCATGTCAGGTCTGCAAGGGAATGTGATGCCCAAGGGCCAGGAGTCGAAGGAATAGTTTGGAGATCTGAAAGGTCATTGGGATAAGGTTATTATTTAGTGTGTTTACTACTGGAGGCAGAAGAAAGAGGTAGGGGGTTGGAACTTGGTGATCCCTTGATCATCTTGTCCTTTGATCAATCAAGAGACTTGACTGGTCCCTATCAGCCCAAGCCATGGAATGCCCTCACCGTGCTCCTGAGCATTTGAAATGCATAGATGAACCTCCTGTAGGGTGTTGCGTTTCTCCCAAGGCATCTTAAAATTACTGGTCAGTGTTTCAAAAGGGAAGCTAGAGAAACTGAAGGTTTCTGAGCCCTTCAGGAGTACCATAACAGAGTTATGCCTATAGAGGCAGGAAGTTCCTGCTAGGAAATGTGATAATGGGTTTGTGGTTCTACAAACGGACGTCTGCAGTAGTGGTTGTGGATGTCTTGCAAGTGAGGTGAAGGGAGAGACTGTTTACTAATTGTGAGGAGCGATTTCCTTTTGTGAGGGGGTTGGTGAACGTTTTGGAGTTATCCTGATGTTGTGTCATGGTTGATTCAGTTCTAGCAGAGATTAGAGGGAAGGTCCAATGCTCTCTTTACGCTCTGGTGTGCTGATAGTTGCTTAGATGCTGTGATGTTTTGCCTCTGCTTGCTTGTATGGGAACTTGTAAAATGTTTGTTTTCATAGATTTTCCCTCTTGTTTTGGTGTGAAAAAGGCCAAGTGACGACAGCAAAGCCAATCTGAATTAATAACTCTAATTAATTGCTTCAACTTCTTTCTTCCTCCTCACATAATTTTTCCTTCCCCCATCCTGAAATCTGTTATTTTTATCTCCTTTCTGTCAACCGTTCAGTGAGATACTCTAACCACTCTGCCCTGGAGAGGAAGGAAGTGCCTTTCTCACCTCTTGAAGAAGATGAACAGTGTACTGTGAAAAGTATTAAGCTTGTGGTCCTGTGTTAGAGCTGGAGAACCTGAAGACAGGTGTGGCTCAGCTGAACAAGTTGCATCAGGAGGCAGTGAGATGCTCACTAGTGGCCCAAGGAGCAGCCTGTTAGTGTATGAATTTAGAAGGCAGCTGGATTTACCCCTCCACTGCTCTGTAGATCCTGTTGTGAGCTCAGAGTGAGATCCATTCCTAACCTTTGATAGTGCTTTGCGCTTCTCTTGTATAAGAGCAGGAAGACTGAAATGTTTACCTGCCCAGGATCTCCATAGCTGTCAGCCCCAGATGGGCAAAATGATCCTTTGCTCCAACATGATGCAGCCATGGATGCACCTGGAACTTTGTGGGAAGGCTGGGAAGTGGAAGGAGTCACATCTTCCTGATGGTGACTGATAGGTGTTTAAAGCAGGGGGTTTGCAGCAGTGACTGCACAGAGCTGGCAGGATGCAGGTATGTCCTGCCAGCTGCCTTTGGGGGCTGGTGAGCATAGTTACTGTAGAAAGATTTAATGTGTTCTGGCCTGGTTCTTTCTGTTCTTCATGCAAATGCTCATTGCATTATATAAATGCTGATAACATGAGCTCACAGGTGTTGCACAAAGCCAGCTGGGCAGCTTGTGATCTCTGGAGACACAGCTGAGAGAGGCAGTGCTGGGAGAAGTGGTGGTGGTGATTGAATTAGTGATTTGCTGTTTGGTGGTGTTGGTTCTCCCTTCACTGCTGTGAAGCCTGAAAGGAGAATGGGAGACTCTTCTACTAGAGGGGCAAACCCAGGAAGCTGAGTTCATAGTCTTATTTCCCTTTCACAGGACTGACTGCCTCCCTATTCTGAGGGATTCCATCCTTAAATAATTATGTTCTGCCCTCTTAGTTTTTTCACAAGTGCCTGAGTTTTCCTTGCCTGCCTGTAACAGCTCGTCTGTGCTGGTGCACGTACACTGCTCACTGGCAGCAAAACACATGTCTGCTCAGGAGTTTGTGCCAAAAAATATATCAAGCTTGAAAATGTGGCTACATACATGTCTTTTTGGAAGCCTGGTTCTGAAAATTGGCCCTGGTTGTAGCTACATCTCCCAGAGATTCCTGAGCTGAATTTCATGGAGTGTCCTGGGATGTCACTTTGTGACCAGATTAGGATCTCTTTCTCCCCTTTTTCGTTAACTGAGATTTTTGCTTTCATCCTGCTTGTGGTGCTTCAGGTGTTCCCTCCTGGCAGCTCTGTCCCCAGCAGTGAGTGACCTTTGTTCAAAACCTGATTCTCTTCCTGTTTTTCCGTGGTTTGCGAGCAGCGGTTGTCTGGCCAAGCAGAGCATAAGGATCCACTGAGGAGGCTGCTCTTGCAGTAACAACTGGAAACCTGACAGGAAAGGGTTTGGCTCAGCCAAAATAATGCTGGTGATTCTGCAAAGCAAAGCTGCCACATCTCTTGGAAGCCTTGCTGTCCAAGTGCCTGTCAGAAAGCATTTGCAAGGGCTTTTTGGCCTTTGAAAGATTTTGCAGAGGCTTAAAATACTTTCAATACTGATAAGATCTGT